CAAAAACGATTCCAACATCAATGGTTTGATGATAATCCTTCCTGGTCTAGATATACTATGTCTATGGTTGCGCTACTGTATATATTGTGGTATTATGGCATATGGGATATATAATATATAAATCGGTTTCGAGCATAGACATAGTATATCTAGACCGAGCGTTTGCCTTTATTTAAGGAGTGGGGGTAAAGATACACGTAGAAAAGGACATACTCTGTTTCGTGCCCCTTGCGTTCTCTCTCGCTCGCACAGAGCATAGCGCTCTCTTTCATCATGCTACGTGCGAGCGAGAGAGAACGCAAGGGGCACGAAACAGAGTATGTCCTTTTCTACGTGCACCTCGGCTCCCACTCCTCAACACTCGGTCTAGATATACTATGTCTATGGTTTCGAGTATCATCGTACAAAGATAAAAGTATTTTCCGTTAGATTAGAAATTTGCATTAAGGGTCGGCAGGAGAGACAGTAGAGACCTCTCGCGGGAAGCCGTGAACTACGGATACGTTTTTTTCGTATTACGGCCAAAATACAAAGAAAATTAAATTCTAACAGCAATATTCGTAATCAGTAAGATCGTAAGATTGGCTCTACAGAGCGATTTTTTGGAAAAAAGAGTTAAAATAATATTTCATAAATTGATAAATAAGGTACAGCTCTGGTACAGCTCATGGCGGATTAGGTGCAGTTGGCCATGAGCTGTATTTTATTAATTATAAATTTTTTGAGAGCCAAAATGCAAAATCCGGCTCTGTAGCGCCAATCTAAGCTTTGCAAAGAATATAAGAATATAGGTTAGAGGAAGAAATATGACTTCTTCGAGGCTCTACATACGAAAAAAACGTATATCACTAGAGCGATATGCAAGGAGCAGAGGAGCAGCACATTTTTCTAGTAGTACACTGATCGCTTGACAAAGAGAGATGATTGCGTCTTTGTCTCTCTTTCATCGCGTATGTGTATAGTATTCGTGTAGATACAACCTAGTACATTGTGCAACGGATATATAAATGCGCTGGAAAATATGTTAGATGAATTATCTATTCTTGTCTTTTTACCGCGTCGATGACACAAAATATCGATAGCAATTACAGTTACTATGTATTTCTTTCTCTGAGATTTGATTCATAAATACTATTATCAAACTGTTGTAAAAAAAAACAATAATGAAATAAACAAACTCCAACTTTTTATTACTTCTATATTTACATATACATATAGGTGTACACAAAATTAATAAAAAGTTGGGGCCTTATTTTATTTTATTTTTTTTTATTTTTATCAAAGACCGAAAAGTATAATTTTGAATCAAATATCGGAAATATATTTCAACTCTAATCGCTATCGATACTTTATGTGTCGTCGACGCGGCAGAAAGAAAATAGCATAATTTGTATAACATTTTTCAAGCATAATGTACTAATTGTAAATTGTATCTATATATGATATATATATATATATATATATGTATATGTATTGTGACGTGACGTTTTTGGGACGTCCATCACAAGGGCCGAATGGCCCGATCGGGGGCGGTTTTTCGAGGGCCTGCGTCCTCCTAATTTAGGGAGAGAGCGGCCCGATCGTCAGATCGATGAGATCTGACTTTTGGTTGTAATAATTAGCGAAAATGTAAGCTCGAGATGAGCCCGCAAGCTAGTTGTCGGCATAAGGTCGAG